AAAGCCCAGAGGGAATGGGGTCCTCACAAGCATAGCTTTCACGTAGAAAGTGAATTTATTTACCTATTTGTGCCACAGATGCACTGCCTTAGTATAGACCTAAGGAGAAAATTCCCAGTGAGAACAAAAATAATAATTTGGAGCGTCAGGAACAAATTGGAACCTACACTGATCTCAATAGCAGGCGCTGGCAGGGGGCGAAATTATTTTTCAAACACTTTTGCTTCTCCTGGTAAAGTAGTTAGTGTTGTATTTTCATGCTGGAAGGAAAAAGTGATGAAAAGTTTTTAAACCCAAAGAAACAAAACCCTTGACTTGGGTCCAAATTTTCTGCAAAACAGGATCCCATATGGCCAGCGTTGGTCTTAGCAGGTCGGAACCGAATTGGAGAATGCGACTTTTAGGTTTGGCTTTTGTGGTTCGCCTCATTTCCGTTAGGATTTTGCAGCTGAGGATGCATATCAGCCTCGCTCCGGATGTTGAGTGCGGAGGCAGGGAGTCCATGTCATAGCGCTTTTAGTATCTGTGGTTCCAGATTCGCAGATGGCCAGCCTGGCTTATCGCTGCAGTCTGCCATGCAGGGGTGTGTACATGAGCAGTACTCATGGAGCTGGTGGGGCAGGGCAGAGGTGGGGGGGAGGCGCGTCCAGGGCACACCCACAGTCAACACCATGCTGTGCCACACCACAGCACAGCACAGCACACCATGCTAAGCTTTAAGCCACTTTCCCGGTGCTCTAAAGAAATAGAAGATGTTACCTGCTTTGTGTTACCTGCTTGGACCTTAAGAGGCCAGCAATTCCAGTCCGAAGCTCAGTGACAGCCTGTCTTAGAAGGGAGAATTCTAGAGGAGGATAAAAGGAGGTTTTTCTCAGCAGCTTTGTTGCTTGTGCCCTCCCAAGTTCAAAGAGAACACTCTGTGTCATTAAAATGTCTTCTGGCTTTGCAGGATGGGAGGAGGGTGGGGGGAAGTAGGATTTCAGGGTTCAACCGTTAGCTTTTCTGGAGTTCGAACTTTCATGCATTTCTCTTTTTATTGGGGAGACATTATGACTAGTTTTACAAGCAAAATAAACAGCTTAGGAACAAACGAAAGCCTTTTTTTAAATTTCTCTTTTAACTGTAAATTCAAGAGCTTGAAATGAATTTGGCAAATAACTCATATTATTGAGGAGTGCTGTGGCCGAAAGGCAAGATTTCCAAAAATTCTTGAAAATCCAAGCAATACCAGGAATAAATCCCAAATTCAATTTGTTGAGCCTTGTGTCTCTCTCAGAACACTTTTCCCCCCTCCCTTTAAAAAAAAAATGGGAGAAATCCATCACAGATCTCCTGTAACTCCTGTCCTGCTGCCTCTTTGCCATGGAGCACAGAGCTGTGCTCTGACCTTGGGCCAGTGACCTCTAGCCAACACAGCCAGAGGAAGCTGGTGCAAACATGTGGTTCCCAGCGAGTTGAGGAAATAACCCCCGCAATCTTGACTGAGGTCTCCTCAAGTGACTTTAGGGTTTCAAGTATCTAAATGGACTCTTTATACATTTCCTATTTATTTGATTCTTTTTCGTTTTTTTAAAAAGGCAACTGTGCAGTTTTTTTATTTGAGCTTTTCAAATTTCGATGAACTTACTTTTGACCTTTTAAATAATCTTGATTTATATAAAATCAATCAATGGAAAACAAACATTAATATCCCCTAAGCGGGCGACACTACAATGGTCTCTCACTCAAGGCCCAAGTCAAATCCCCTCTTCTGCCTAAAAGTCCTTCCTTAATCTGTTCCCATCAAAATGATCTGCTGCATCCTTTAGGTCATTGCTATAGTCACTGAATGGCTCTACCCATCAGGCATTGCAAAAGTGCCCATCTTTTAGATACTGTTCCTTTCATTACCTACCTGTGGTAGGTCCATGTTACCTGAAGTTAAAAGAAACAGAAACCTAGAGATTAATCAGCTTCTTCATGGAGCCTATTTTTGAACCCAGGCTTATCAATTTCTATAATCTCTGTGCTTTCTACCATGTTCACTTCTGTGGCTGTACAGCACTAATTTCTACAGAGTATTTCCCACTCATTCCTCAGCTCCTTCGGAATAGGAAACAGATTTTATTATTCTCTATGCAGTATTTAGCAAAAGTGCCTAGCAGCTAATAGACATTAGATAAATGTGTTGAAATAAACTTATGACCTGGGTGTTATAAACTAGTTGAACAATCCTGTTTCAGCGAAACATGTTGTGATAGAATTAGCTCTGATAGAGTGCAGATGATTTGACAGCTGGCATATCAAATCCATGTGATAACCAGCAACGCGATAGACGTGTAGTAATCCCCCCCATCGCCTTTTATTAAGCTGTAGTTGTGAATCTTTTTCACTAACCATTTAATAGTCATTTTCACAGATTAGCTTCAGAATAATTATGAGGGATTACAGGGAATTATTAGTCCCTATATTGCAGTTGAGGAAAGAAACTAAGGCTTAGAGATATAAAACAGCTTGTCTAAAATCACATGGTGTACAAAAACCTCGCCATGCTCTCTTGAACCATCCTCGTTATAGGAAGTAAATGGGTTCCTCTCTATCCAGTGTATCTGATCTCCACTAAAATATGGCACCAGCGTGATCTGGGAGTCAGGGAGGAAGCGCCTTCGATGCCATGGACACTCAGTAAACGCTGAGTAAATGATGGAGCACCCTGTGGAGTTTCTTTACTATGGACACCAGTTGAATGAAGTCTCTCTGGAGACCCCATTTTGTGCACTGATCCCTAAAACCTCCTGAAGGCCCAAGACGTTGGCATGAAGAGCAGAGCAGATTTTTGTTTTCAGAACCACAGGAATACTGTTAGAAAAAAAAAATCTAACCTTGTGGGGCAAACAGTATCAATATATTGTTTGAAAAAAATATGCATATACCAGGGCTGCCAAAAAAATGTACACATTTTAAGAGATGTTATCTATGTACTTTTCCAAGTTGAATTGAATTACGGTAGTGATGCGTATGATGTTCACTCAAAAGATGGCATCAATCAAGTGAATGCTAGCATCATTCATTGTATTACCATTTTAATACAGTTTTTTCCTTTCTTAAAATGTGTATACAGTTTTTGGTACCATCTGTATATTTGTCAGAACAAAGGACTTAATGATTTACTCTGCCAGTGCAATGCTTCTGGATATTTTTGGGGGCCATATAGTCACACTATCAAAAATTTGATAAAACACAAAGATATCTTACCTAAGAAGGCAATACAGTCCGCTTTAGTACAATAACTGTTTCTGATACATCAATTAGTGATAGACTGTTGGGAATAAGGGAACAATATCAGGATACTGTGGGATATCCTTGCTGTTTATATATAATTTTTTCCCAGTGTGTTAATACTTCATGCCATATTGTCATAGCAATAGAATGCAAAGCACATCAAACCAGCTAAACGCAGCAAAGCATGAAGGAATAGTGTGATCCTCAGTGCCCTGACATCCCGTATGTTTAGCCATGTTCTGTCTCAGAAGTGCTTACTGCGTGGTTCTTTCTCCTTTTTATGTATTTTATCCTTGTCTCTATAACTCAGCATCCTTGTTCCCTGTATTCTTTCCCTTAGTATTCCCTCCGTCAATCTCCCTTTCACCTTATTTCTAAAGTCCACGATTTCTTACGGTATTTATTTAATGTAAATTTGAGATATTTTAAAACTGTGCTTCTATTTTTACTAGCATCATTATTGTGTTTGTGAGTTATCTGTTACAAAGGTAAACAGCTTTTGACTGCCCTCCCCTATGTCCTCAAAAAGAGATCAGTTTTGTAAAACAAGAGGTTATTTTCTGGATGTATCTACCACATTATGGGAGAACTCCTGGCATGTCCAACCACATCACCAATCTGGATCTTAGCACAAGCATGAAGAATGCAAGGTCCTGAGCAAATCAGGGGTCTTGTGTGCTGTCCACAGAGGAGAGCTGATATGCATTTGCTCCAGACACCATTTTTGCAGGGTCATAGGTGAGCGTATGCAGATTAGTTGGCCTCTGTTTTCCTCATCTGACTATTAGAGCTAAGAGCTCCTCCTTCACAGGTGGGTTATTAGGACTCTGTGGGATAACACATTATACATCTAGCCTGGTATCCAGCATACCGGGAGGTTCTTATTAAGGATCCTTTTCTTTTCTAACGATCTGTTGATACATAAGTAGGTGGAATAGGTAATAGGGCTCTGGATGTGGGAGTGACTCCATTTATCTCTTTAGCGGTGCCCAGTGGTAGGTTTTGCAAGGCAGGATTTCCACAGCTTGATAGCAATGGACAAACAGTGAAAGGGACACACTAAAATGTAAAAAGTATAAAAATCTAGGACTATCACAGCATTAGATAGTCCTACGTTTGATGGCATCATGCTAGTACCCCATATTATTGCAATGACCCTGAATCAAAATGTGTTTAATTATGTTCAAAATATTTTCTTTCTGAAGGTGGCAAAATGTGTAATCCACCTAAAAAAGGTTTTAAACAAAACAGTTATTATTTTTAAGTTTGGATATATGAAATAGATGGCTAACCAGCTGAAATACCTCATTCTCAAATTATTTTGAAAAACTATACAACTCTTCGTATACAGTGATCTCCCCATTTTCAAAAGTGATGCTGTAATTCAGAATTTTACAACTGATATTAAAGAATGACTCCAGAGCTAAAATGAAGCCATATAGAACAGGCAGTAGAAAACAATTATTGCTAGTTTCCTTCCCCAAAAGAGGCAAGGAAAAGAAAATTGATTTAATTGACAGCAAGACTGACCAGTAGGTACATAAAAAGAGACAACTTTTATAATGGCAATTTGCAGAAGAAGCTATGGAGGTCCAAGTGTTTTCTCTTTTCCTAAGGAAACAATTAAGAGTGGAAAATTATTATATTTGTAGACCATTAATTTGAATCTTTCTCAGTTTCTTACTACACTAGTTTCTACTGCTGATAACTCACTTAACGATTGCCTGTTTTTATTTCAGAATGAAAAATAAATCAAGACCACTATGCGTGTCAACCAAGAATTAAATGCCCACTTCCTCACTGGAAAAGAGGTAATACATAGTGGTTAAGAGTTTGGGTGGAAATGAGCCTTAACGGACGTGTTCAGATCCAAGTTTTGCCACTTTGAACTTCCACTGATTATTTAAAATATTCTCTGGCTCATTTTATCTTCTCTTTTCTAGAATAGGATTAATACTGCCTATCTCCTAGAGTAATTTTAAGTCTTATATTGAATGTATAGGTGTATGCAATTAACAAGGTACTTGGCACAAAGTAGTAACTCAGTAAATGATTGTCACATAAATTATAAATCACACACACAACACCTCACACCTTTAAAAAAATTAAATTTATTAGGGTGACAATGGTTAGTAAGATTACAGAGGTTTCAAGTGTACAAATCTGTAATATATAACCTATATATCACATTGTGTGTTACCTCACACTCTTTATGACGGATTAGCAATGAATGAATCTACATTAATTTTGTTTTGCTTTTGTATTATATTATTCTATAAAATCTCTAAGGGAAAATGGACACAAGGGTAACTAAAATATAGCCCCAGAGTAGACTATAACTTGCATATGAACACTAATGATGAATTACACTGTTTACATAACAATATTTTTAAACAGGTAATTGTATATCATGAAAAAAAATACTTTGAGATTCATATCATCTCGATGTGAAAATAAATTTAATATCAAACCTTGTATAAAATTGTGAATGAGAATACTTTACAAATTATGTTTAAAATACTATATTCTGCTTTATAGTTCTAATTTTCTGTGATATTTTAATTATCATCGTATTTGGCTACCAATGATTGGTAATAGGAGTTTTGCTTCATGTCAGATGCATGAGACTGCATTTAGTGTTTTTTATTCTTTTTGACATTTCAACTGGCCTGTCCATTGTAAACATCTAGAGAATGAAATGAGTAGCCTGCTTTCCCTTTAGATTTCTTTTTTTGGATACAAATTACTAGATTATTCCTGGGACACAGTTTGTCATGCCTTTGAGCTCTAACCATGGCATTTAACTTAATTTTCAAGAGTAACTTGGCCTTCATTTTTTACCTCACAAAGCATACTACCTATGAAATGGTTAACTTAATGTTTACAAACGGAGAAAAAAAGTGCACTTGGTTCTCTCAAGTTTCTAGGGCTCTTGGTAAAAGAATCTTAGGACCTAAACTCTTGCTATCTCTTGAGGCATGGTTTTAAAGTTTTCCTAAATAAGAAATTTAGTAACTATTGTCTGGGATTACAATTATGTAACTTCTACTGCCATCGATGCAATGGAATACCTTTTATAATTAAAAGGCATGCAGTCATGCTTGGGGGAAATGGAATAAGAAATTAAATTGTCCCCTCGTGGGGGTATAATAGAGCTTGCATGGTTGCTCTGGGGGAAGGAAAATGTTTTGACTGTGTGTATGGGGAAGGAGGAAAGACTCAGTGAATAATTTGTTTTTCATCACTCATCTCCATGCCACCTCTGAATCTCAAGTAATAAGTCAATTGCAGTTTCATTAAGGTACATCAAATGACATTTTATCCTTTTTTTAGATCTCGAGAAATGGATTTAAGGATGAGGAATGGCTGACTTTAGCAAACAGATTAAAAATAGCACATGACCTAAACTCTGAGTAACTCAAATTTAAAAAGCACACAGGCCTTCTTCTCATGTAAAACCGGAGTGTTTTTGGCTATTGAGGAGAAAGGTTGTGACCTGGCTTCTAGCCTGTCTCCGTTCTTGACCTCCTTTCTTTTAGTTCAAAGAGATTAGATCCAGTTTCCTGGGCCAGCCACGGATGAGAACACCATGGACATTTTGGCGTGGAGATAGAGAAGGAAGAAATGGAGAAAAGGGGTGATGAGCTCATAGGTCTTTTCCATCCCTGTGGCCTGGGCTTCTGCCATTCCATCCCACACACCCCAACCTCCAGCCTCCCTGGCTCCCTCGCTGCTCCCCAAACCCCTAACATTTCACTAAGGGCACCTTTGCACACACTGTTCTCTCTACCTCTGATGCTACCACCCCCACTCCTGTTTTGCAAACTCCTACTCATCTGTCAGGAAGGTTCACCCCTCCCTGTGCAACTTTCCTTAGTTCATACGCTGAGCTAATCAGTCTTTCCTATCGGGCCTCCTATCACTTTGCTTATTCCCACTCTTAACTCCGTGTAATTGAATGTGCCTTTTTTAACATCTCTGCCTTTTACTTTCAGCTTTTCTTGGGGGATAGGAGCTGAGCCCTGCTCATCTTTTTTTGTCCAGTCCCTTCCAGATAGCTAGTCAGCCATAAAGACGTATACATCCATACTGTAGGTAGATAGATAGATGGTGATATGATATAGATATAAACACGGATGGAGAGAAACAAAGAGACAGAGGCAAAGAGAAAGACAGAACATAGGGATGGAGAACTAAAAATGGTGCTTTAAGTACCTAAGGCAAAAAAAAAAAAAACCCTCAGAAACAGGACGGCACCGGGCTTATTTATTCTGAGATCTGAAATTGGGACAAGTGGGTACAAGGAGTGGTAACTGAATTTGCAATTAGATGGCATGAACATTGTACATTGCTTGGGGTTGGAGGTAGAAAGCAGTGGTGTTCCCAGGGACTTATGGTTAATTTATTTGGTTAGATTCAGTTGTCTTTAAAACTGAGTTGTGAGTCCTGAGTAGGAAGTGTAGAGTGTGTTTGTGTAAAGTGTAAACAGAACTGTGTTAAACAGAGGGAAAGCTGTTTGTTTTCAAATGAAGTGGCAAGGACCTTTCTTATGTTAAATTGGTTGGAAATAGAACTTCCATTGCAGTAATGTCAAATATGCATTACTGGAAGAGGATGGGCCTCCGAAACATTGAAAAAATAAAGGGAAGTAACATAAACCCCCTTTCCCTTTCCACATAAATTCACATGCTGTAGATACCAACCAATGAATAGATGAAAACCTCAGAGTCCCTTCTAGTAGAAAGGTCAAGCACATGATGTGAAAAAAGATCAAATTCATTAAGTATCGGTTGTGGTTGAGAATGCCTTTAAGATGAAAAATTAAGATGTATTCAACACTCAACACCAACACACCAAAGAACATAACCCAGATGAGCTAAAAAGCAAGACTGGAGTGAAAATGAGCTAATGCTGTTTGGGGATTGTATGCAAACTGTGGCAAGAGATCAGCAACAATTGAAAGGAGAAGGAGAGCAGAAAACTGCTCAGCTGCTAACAATAAAGAAGCAGCAAATTTGCAAAATGCATGAAGTACTTCAGTAACTGGTAGGATAATGCAGGAATACTTGTGCAGTTACGTTTATTGGGGTATGCCTTTTTTTCTTTATTCCTTTCCTTAAGGGTTGGTAGGTAGACTAGGGGGAGTGGAGGATGGAGGATTTGCTTATCTTTTTCTCATTCCCCCCTGCAGCTGACTTACAAATGCTATCTCCATCATGATAAAGAGGCATGTGTAATGTTATTCAGGCTGGCAGTCGAACTGACAACACATTTTATATATTACCCAAAACATTGAAGAAGAAAATTTGCAATAACCTAATAGTCATTTGTAAAAGCATGAAGTTGGCCTCATCAGCTCAGAAATTGAATTTGCGAGCTGTTAAATGTCAGAGCTGACCCCTGGGAGTTTTCGAGGTGGGATGATGTGGTGAAGGGCAGGCTTCAGGTCATGTTTTATACAAGAAGTTTAATTGTTCTGGCTAGGAAGTAAAAGTGACTCATTGCGTTGAAGTGGTTTCTATCTCCCAACACAGATTTCAAATGGGGGAGGATAGCATAGCAATAATATCTTTAAAAGAATTGGACTAGTTCACTTCAGTCTTTTAACTACTTCCATCCAGATTCATTTGTTTTGGACACAAAAGTTGATAGCAGGCCAATGATAGCAAAAAACAGTGTCTTTGTCACCCCTTTTGAACCCACACAAACCTTTTCACTGTGTTTAAAGCAGGCTTTTTTTTGCCAAAGAAAATTGCATGCTATTCGGCCTTTTCTGAGTTTTTATTGAAGAACATTAAATGGTTTATAGCTATAAAGAATTGAAAGTCATCATGACACCAAGTTCATGGTATGGTATTTTCCAGTTGTGTTTTGATTCTCAGAAACTTTCATTTCAACTCAGGTATGAGCATTTTTTATTTGACATCAAAAGATCGTTCATGATAATTTCTTAGCCATAAGCTTTAGATGTTGGGTTCTTATATCACTTTACAGATCTGTGACCAGCTGGGGATTTCTAATCACAGCTTTTGCTATCTGCCATTCTCTTCAGCCACTGATACTGATAAATCGGAAGCTTCAATTTTTTGAAGCTTCCGATTTTTTCAGTAAAACTTGGTCTTCTGAAGAAAAATGTGTTGCTAGGAGAATGTTATCATTAGCTTCCAGTAACCATTGTCTCTCTAATCCCCACCCCCAACAAAGTAATTAGAGTATTCAAAAGCTAAAATGAATTCTCAAAGAATAGAAATAACAATCTCTAAGTGAGTTTCTATCAAAAACAAAAACAAACAAAAATAACAGAGCAAGACAATTGAGGCACACTGAAGGGAAAACCAGGAGTCACCTAGGGAAGTGTGTTGTCATTGTTGCCCCCTAGAACAGTGGGTACGGAGGTTCTATGGTTGGAGATAGCTCGTGCATCAATAAGAGAGGTTTCATAAAATATAAGGTCAGAAAAGCATATTAGGGTGAAATCATAAAGGATCTCAAGTTGCCAGGCTGAAAAGCTTGGATTTCATTCTACCCATAATGGTAAAGTTAATCAAAGCATGGCAAATGTTTTTAGAATAATCTGGAAGGTTAGGAGGCCACTCTGATTGCCCACATCTAAGGCAAAGCAATAGGACTAGAAAGAAAGAAGTCAATTTTCCTAGAAATCATGAAGACAGAATTAATAGGATTAAGTAATGGATTAAAATAGGGAGTAAGGAAGGAGCTGAAATAATCACATATCTGTTTATCAACGGGAAGATTAAAAAATGGGTTCTTTTTTGGTCAAGATGTATTTGAGGTACCCATGGTTCACTTA